CTGTAGCTCTGTTAGTAAAAGCTATAATCACGATCGAATCCAGTCTGATCGAAGGAATTTTTCTTTGTTTTTTATAATAAATAAAAAAATATTTATTCATTCTATAATTACTTATTTAGTTTTATAAGATGTACAATAAACTTTTAATAATATAGGACTATTAACTCTCAATATATTCAAGCAAAGGCCGTGGGTTCGAATACGGGCTCTCATCTCTGAGTTTCTCGGAATTTAATTTGAAATTTACCATAAGCTTTTTGGTGAAGGCAAACAGGAATGGAAAGGCGTGATGAAACCTGCACGTCGAAGAAGGTTCACAACCCTCGGAAAACGTGTCAAGTCCCCAACCCGCATTGGTCCAGTGTGGAGAACTATAGTCTAAACCCTCGCTTGAGTGGAAACCCGTGCCCAGTTGTGGGACGTATAAATGGGCCAATAATGATGATGATGAATATTGGACTTGCTTTACGATTATCATTATAGTTTTTAGTAAAGTATGAAGACTGTCTTTCTATGTAAATTACTTTTTGTTACAAATTAATATCATTCATTGATTCATACGTTTTATTAAAGACAATAAATATTCAAAGGTACATGTTGTATATTATACAACATGCATTATTGAAGTCGTTGTTTTCATGAAAACAAACAAGTTCAATAAACACGATACGATTATTCAAAAAGCGTGTAAAACTATTCATTGATCTCATGCGGCTCTAGTTGGAGCACCAAAAAATTGTAAAACGATTCTTAAGTCAATTCATTTTATCAAATTGTGAAAGTTAATAGTTCTTAAGTGTAAGTTGCGTAAATTATTAGATACGTATAAGTATTGGTCAGTAATTATTTTGTTAGACGCCTGATAGTATGTGATGGCAGCGATACATAAATCTGTTAATGGTTTTTATTGGCCGATTTGTGATTCTTTTTGTGAAATTTTTAATTGTGAATAAAATAAATTAAAAAGAAAAATGGGGTTTAAAACATAATTATTTTTTTTCCCTCGACTGCGAATAAAATTATATACATACAAAATATAAATTTGCCAGTCTACCTACTAGTTTTCCTTTCCTTCTTTGTGCCTTAATTCTGCAAATTAAGGTATTTTGTTACAGTATCCTAAATGAAAATTTAATGTAAAAAATGTTATGAGCGTCATCTTGTATAAGAGAAAACAACTAAATAAATAATGATAATTATGTATATTCATCATTTTCTTACAAAATATTTACAACACCGTTATTATGCACATATCCATTGTCATATAAAACATTACAATTGAGATAAGTTACTTCTGAGGCGTATTTACAGCTTACTACGTAAACTATATCTAACTACTAGTTAATCTCATTGTCCACCAAAGCGTAGAAGATAGTGAAACACTATTGGTCGTATTCCAGAACTCTATTCATACTCAAGTCAGGACTTGAGCATGATTTCAAGCACTAGAAATACGACCCTAATGGCAAGGTCGTGCTTTAAATCATACTCAAGTCCTGACTTGAGCATTGAGCAGAGTTCTGGAGTACGACCCTAAAACAACCAATTAAGATATCGTTATGTAGATATCTCTTCGCTTAGAGAAAATAACGAAGACCTATTGGTCATTGAAACAACACATTAATATATACAAATTTTAAGACTTTCATGGTTATTCAGTACGAGAAAGTTATAACGTGGTAAACCTATAACTGAATCTTCTCTCTTTCTTTGGTAGACAACGAGTCGTTCAGATCAATAATTTTAGGCACCGTTTCCTAAATTAAATCTATTTACTTCTGTAGTTTGCACACTCGATTAAAAGGATAACCCTTACAATTTCCGTAATCCAGCAAACCAAAGAAATGGTGGCTTTAAACATCGATTAAATTAGGGTCTTCTTAGAGTAGTCGAGTGTACAACAAACAACAATAAAAGGCTTTCTATATTTGTGAGATATCCCATAAGATTATTATAAAAATATGTTTGCACTACTGCCAACTTAGTGTATGATATCGATCAGAGTCCCTTGCATTATTTGCATGTGTATGTAGTAAACTGCAATACATTGCATAATTAACAGGTATTTATGTATATGTTTTATAATCCTGATAATTAAAAAAGTGCAACGAAATCGTACAACGACGTCAATATCACACACTAAGTTTAACATTTACGCGAGATATTTCCTTGAAAATATATTAATATTTAGATAGTAGATTCATTCAAACACAATGTAGAATAACAACAGCAATCAATAACGAAGATAAATGGAAAATGTTATATATTATCACAAATCTGATATATAGATTTCATATGATTGAAAATTTGTTAGAAAAGAAATGATCTTATGCATTATTCAACAAAGCGATGCCATTGCCATTCTGCAAAGTGTTTAATAAAAACATATTTATGCTAGCAAATTAGAATTCATCATAATGCAATTTGAACTGTAACGCGATAGATAATATTTAATAATATAAAATCACACCATCGTAAGTGTAAATTTTTGACTAAAATATCAAATGAACAAATACAATAGGAATGTAAACTATAATTTCCATTGTTTCTGTAAAAGAACAACCTCTAAACTGTTACTGTCCTAATCCATATTTACAATTATAAGGAAAACCGACAATTTACACTATTAGCCCTATGTACCCTATTTATACAGACATTCTAGTTACACTAAACAGCTTTACATAAGTAATACTTTCATCGAATACGTTGCGTTCAACCAATGCGGCGAAACCTGCAGTAAAAATATTATTGTCGAGACAAAGAGAAACTTTTAAAAACGCTAGAGGATTCTAGTTAATGTTCCATAGCTACAATGAGCATGTGGCAAATTATAACGAATACATAAGGTCCGTTACACAGTTATTTAATCTGGCGTATCAAATCTCCGACGAGGTCCACGAACCCGTATTATAGTCGCTAGTTCGGGCGCGATCATAACACGCGTCAAAAACGCCAATATATAAGGACCCCAATATAATTTGACTGCACATGGAAACGTTATGGAGAATAGTGACATTTTCCTGAAGACTTGCATATTCGTTTCAAGACAGTTCATAACATCATAGTAATGTAAACACTACAAACTGACTTAACGTATGTTATAGCAATCTATCAGCGAAATAATGTATAAAAATTACATTACTGTGTTCAGTCTTACCTTTGTTATTTACATGGACTCTAATCGGCAACCATGAACGCGCACTAGGTATGTAATCATTATGTGATATGTACAGTGAAATGTACGATTTTCGCTATCATGGCCGCAATATCACAATTTCTTTCATGTCTTGCATAAAAATTACTTACGTCATCAAGGTGGACGTTTACCTTATACATATATAATACGACGTGGTCTGGCTAGAGCACAATATAATGTTACATTTATGTTTATATTGTGTGTTTATCAAAGACCAGACGTAAGATCTCAACAATGCGTTATCTATGTGCTGATTCGTTTCTTTGATCTAAGTATACAAACAAAGTTGTAAATATTAAATGTTACTTTTAACATTGCGTAGACAAAACAGACCAATACATTTTTGAAAATGTTTAGACACGCAAAAATATACATATAATGTCGCAAGACTACGTCTATTTCGTGTAGAGTAAACGCGAAACAATTGAAAAGCAAAGATTTCTTTGTTGATTATTCAGTTGACGTAGATTCAAGACTTATTATATATTACTATGGACGAAGGCCATTTTGAACTTATTGCTATATTCATTACAATTGACATGCGTATCATTTACCGTTTGTCCGGCGTAAGATACATCTGCAGTACGTCTTTAGGCAGGGTTCGAAAACCGATAAAATTTCTGAATCGCTTTGGGTCAATGATCTCGAACGAATTATTTAGTTCATGGTTTTATCACAAGTTTTGCTACCAATTGAGTTTTTCTAGTCACTTACGTTTAGTAGCAAATAGATTTAGTCGTGTCGTCATCATTATTTTATTTTGTGGCGTTTCGATCATACGCAAAACTCATAATCGTTAGCAACACAATGCGCGTGTCGTAGCGCGATGCAAAGTGCAGTTCATAGTGGACGTAATCGTGACGATATGGCAGGCGTGTCAGACGGGACAAAGTAACTAACATGACAGACGTGACAGAAATGAGAAATTTTGAATGTGGGAGATTTTGAATGAAAATTAGGGTTCGGCATCGGTTAATGCATTTTCAAAACGATCATTTAAGTTAACCGGTAAATCAACGAACCATAAATCAAACCCTTTCAAGCCCTATTGCTTGAAGTGGTATTTATGGTCTGCTAAAATTTCAGGTTATACGTGCTCCATGATTCTAAAGTATATTTTGTCACAAGTGAACATGTCCCTTCCGCACACCTTATATCACTCTCGAATAGACCATTCTAAGACCTACTTTTACTAAAGGTTAAATGATGGATAGAAGTTTTAAATTTTTTTTATATTTTCCTAGTCTTTTACATTATATACAGGGTTATTTGTAATATACTAACAACCTGGACTATGTTATTACTAACATCATAAACAACAACTTTTGTTCCATCACTTTTTACAAATTTAGTAGCAGTAGAGCTCTTTGTAAAAGAGTTCGTCCAGGGAAGTACTTTACCTGTTTCTGCCGCCAAGCAGTAATATGAGCACTACTGTGTTCCGGTTTTGAAGGGTAAGGGTGAAATTACAGGCACATGGGACTTGTCATTTTATGTCTCAGGGTGTCGGGCGGAGTGCCAGTGCCCCTCAAATCATTGCGGTTTAAAGCTCTGAGTGGCACTGAAATTGTTATGACAGGCGCGAACTTACCATCAGGCGCAAGACTTGTTCGTCCCATCACTTGATGTGATAAAAAAAAAAACAATTAATTTACAAAAATAAACTTTTTAACTTTTTGTTGTCTGATACTGCAGATCTGTATCTTTAGCAACGCCTCTCACGTGCAGTCATTCATAGAAATATTTTTGGTAGTGGGTTTTTCTTTTGCTACCGCACAGAGTTATACCCATTTAGAGCGATCTATTTAAAATATTAAATATTTTTATGCAAAATCTGATTAATAATTAAAAGTCATAGAACGAAGTTGTTGTTTATGACGTTAGTTATATAGTCCTGCGAGGTTGTTAATATTTTATAAATAACCCTGTATAATCTCGCTTATTCGTTCCACAGAAGGTAAGCCGTGCGGCATATAATTAGACTTTCGATACATCTACAGGGATTCAATTCCGTTTTCAGATGAATCCTGTATTTAGGTATATGTTTAGTAATAAGTGAGACTGTAACCAGTGACTAATGTGAGCTAGAATGAGAGTTGTGTTGTGCTTTCTTTTTACGCTGCGCGAGCATGTCATAGAACGGGTTGTGGCTTATAGAGCGACGTAGGCATTCTATCCATTCATCTCGTTCTTCCACAGTTGCTGCCGACATTCTGCAAAAATATTTAAAAAATATATATTTTAATTAAACTACATAAAATTATAAAGCTTAATTATTAAAATCTTAAACGTACCCTAAAAAGTCATATCCATATTAATATATATTTATTTCGTTCCTAAATGGTTTCCTTACATCTAGAATACATTGACATGTAGGACCCTGCTGAGGCATCGCAGAGTAATGTTAAATGTTTAAAATGTTAGTTTTGTTTAACTTTTAGAAGAAGAAAAGCACTACTGGTAGCACAAAACTTAAAATCTCATGGCCTACGGTTGGCAAAGCATTCCTATAAGCAAAACCAAAATCATAAATATATTTAATAGGTAAGCATTCATAGGCGGCGGTAACTCTTTCCATCACTAAAAAAGATATATGGTTGGACCATCCCAATTGCCAGCACTGCGTTAAAATTTATATGGAGAATAGTCAGAGCGCATGATGCTGAAACTCTATAAAACACGTGTTTGATATAGACAGGGTGTTGAAAAAAGGTGCCCAAACCTTGTGGTATAATCACCGAACTACCTGCCAAACAAGGCAACCATACAAATGTATCTCTTTTTTAACTAGACATTTGCATGCCATTTAATATATGCAAAGCATGATTGTAATTGTAATGACACTGTTTTTGTTAAATCTTTTGGTACACTATGTTTTAAGGCGCCTGTGTTTATTTTATATTGAGCGATGAAGTTATATAGACATTATGATGATTTACACTCGCTGTTTACCTATAAACGGTATGTTTTCCTTCAACAACCTTCCCTTCGGAGTCGGTTTTGCAGGCCTTAATTAGGTCAGCGCCACCGCTGGCGTACAGCTCCAGACAGTGAGGTCGTTGCCGGTCACTCGCAGGACGCACCTGCAAATAGAACTTTCACCTAGAAATTCGCTCCAGAACATAAAACGTTATTTTTTCCGTGATTCATTATTTCTATGATTCATAACCACGTATATACGCCACAATGTGTTAAAATTATTTGCTGAAAATTCTGCCTTACAGTGGATTCACACAATTCTCATGACGTTCATTGTGAATTTATCAGTTTAAAATTACAGTTTGTTTGTTTGTAACCTGTAGCTAAGTGTACAGTGGATTGACTGGTAGGTTGTTCTATTTTTTTCGATGAGAGACGAAAGTATAATACAAACATTAAACATGAATGTTTTTGCTTTCAAAAGTACACGGTACAGATGTCAAAAGTACAGCTATACATACTTTATGGCGATATAAGATTTTTGATAGCTTTTAACATTTGCTTCGTTTACATAAAACGTTGTGAGCAAGTTAATCACGTTGTATAAGAATAATTCAGTTCGAAGACTAATTCTAAAGCGAAGGTATACTCACGGATATGTTTTCAAGTGGAATGATGCCCCTGGGCTCCTTGTCCGTCGTGTACTCGAAGTAGTACAGGCAGTTATCATTGAGAATAAACCACCGTCTCTTCCACGACTTGTATCTGAAATATTTCAACATATTGATTGAAATTCTACAATTCTAAATAGAACTATTATTCAGCAAATTAACAAAATTATTCAAATTTTATTAAAATGCTTTTACAGACTCTGTCAAGACTGAACATAATATTATAACAATAAACTAGGGGAGTAGTTTCACACACAAAAAAAACACGGTGGTAAAAACAACATCATCAACCAAATAAATATGGAGAGTGCTTAGGAAATGAAACTATTTTTCCGGATTAAAATCGCGTATATTTGTTTTTTCAAACAAACCGACGTTACAAGCCCTTTACAGGTCCCATGGTCACGGTTGACTGAGGTGGTACAGTCTTCAACCAGTTATGTCTCAATATTAAACAAAGCGAAGTATTTGTACCCGCGTCAAAGAACATATAGCTGATGTCAAACACCGTCGCGTAAACAAGTCTGCAGTCTGCGAGCATGTCATGGATAAACCTACACATTCAATGAAGTTTGACAAACCCCAGGTCCTTGCAAAAGAAATCCGTTATCTACCCAGGATGCTGCGAGAGGCCATTGAAATTAAAAAGCATCCTAATTTCAACAGGGAAGATGGTTTCTCCGTACCACCAGTTTGGGATTTATAGTGAAAAAAGTTTATAGTGAAAAAATAGGGTGGTTTGCATCAATATTAGACATAGACTGTACCACCTCAGTCAACCGTGACCATGGGACTTTTAAAGGGCCCGAAACGTCAATTTGTTTGAAAAAACAAATATACGCGATTTAAATCCGGAAAAATAGTTTCATTTTCTATGTGTAACAATCGCGAAAACCTAAGAACTCGATATGGAGAGTGCTTTTAAACAGATAATAAAAATTAGATGTAGTTTGGTCGAGTGTGTGTACGAATGATTAGCAAAAAGAAAAGAAAAATATCTGTTTAATGTAATTTTCTTATAACAAACTTAAAATAAATATTTGTTGTTGGTTGTGCATCCAAAACAACCCGACCCAGGTATTCTGTGATTGATTGAGTATAGAACAGCTTTTTAAGATTTCAGATAGGTGAAAATATAATAGGTTGTAGATTAAGCTAACACCCCGTATGATGTACTTAATAAAAAAAAAATTATAACGAACCTGCCACCTTGCTTCCACAACCAGCCCTCTTTGTCGGGATTGAAGAAGGTATGCATGAGATCGTTACCGTCGTCCTCGGGAATCTTGAAGGGCTCCGTCTTTATAGATTCGTATAGTGACTGAAAGTACAAACAAACTTATTTTAATCTCCGACGTTATAGGTACCTGTTTACAGCTAGCTAGGTGGTTAAGTCAACTTTAATCGTGTAGAAAAACCACACTAACTTCAATATAAACAAACTCTTAGAAAATAAAGCACAGTTTTTTAGTAAACTGCTCTGATGTAAACATGTATCTAGAAAAGTATAGTACGTAGTATGCCCGATAAACGTGCTTGTAATAAATAAGCTTAGTACGACAATTAGGAATTTATTTTTCGTAAAAAAAAAGGAAGTAAATGCGCAATAACAAAGATGCAGTATGTCGTACTAAGATTAATTCAGTAAACAGTATGGTTTTTCAAGCATACGTTACTTTACTGATAACTGTAATAAAAATCAACTACCTATTTACTAAACATAGGTTAAGATCGTGTACGTTATTTACGTATTTGTCATGATTTATCAGTAAACAAATTAACGAGTACATTAATGTTTTCATTGCCAGTTGATAAGAGACGATAAATAATATAGTACATATGTGGCTTTTTCTCTTTCATACACTTAAATACAAAATACTTAAAAAATGAATTATATGACATGGGAATATACCGAGTATATTTACATAAACCTCAAGCAAAATACATAGAGTTGATGATATCTCCGCCTGAATTCCCGGAACGATTGAAAATAAAATAAAATAAAATCAAAACAAAATATTAATAAAGTTTAGATAAAAATACTCTGCTTAAATTTTAAATTAAAAATATCTGTAATGACACATGTGTATGTGATGACATGTGCAATTTTCATTACACGGCGTATTACCGACATAAAACATAGACAATAATAATATGAAAAGTTTATAACACTTCTCAAAACTCTTAGCACTGCTTTAACCACGGACAAATAACTAAATAATGTGGATGAAACTTGTTTAAAATTGATTTTTAAGTTTTAAAACAACTTAATCTAATTGGAAATTAATCTATATTTCCGGACCTTAATCACGTACATACATTTTTCTACACAAACCAACGTTTTAGGCCATTTACAAGTCACGGCTGAGAGCGTACAGTTAGTTATCAACTACTTATGTCTAACATTTACGAAAGGTTATTTGGAAGAAATCTTTTTATTTGACAAGCTCGCCTATGTACATCAACATTTTGAATGGTTTGTTAAAATTTGTAATATGTTGTGTTGAACAATAAAGTGTCTATAAAGTTAAATACATGTATAATGCAAATTATCCTATTCTGAACTATATATTTACATCGCAAACATTTAATTTAAAATGTGTAACAATGGCGAAACCCTAGGAATATCGTAAACGTAATCCAAGTTTAATTTTATGTATTATACAGGTACGTTTTAAGTATCACGGTCATGACTGACTGAGATAGTAAATACATCAACCAGTTAAGTCTAATATTAATGTAAACAAGTGTATTTTGATTTGCGTCACCACCTGACCTGGACCTGTAAATGGCCCGAGATGTTGGTTTGTTTGAAAACGCATAAAAATATACGCGATTTCGAAAGTGTAACAATCGCCAAAATCTAAGAAGTCAATATTATCATTATATCGGTTAATCCTATTTTAGATTTTAACTTCTCGGTTCTTGTATAAAATACAAATTTTGTTTTTCTTTTAATGAGGGAGGCGGTATTACCCCGCAGTGGCACAGTCTGCCGGAGCCAGGGAGACAGATTTAACGATACACACTGCATCGAAGAACTACTTTCTGCATTTGTACTAGAAGCAACACGGCGCAGAAATCCAACCGTCTCGAGTTGTTATTATTATTACTATGACTTACGCGTAATATAATGTGATATGTGTTTCATACTAACCAAAACAAACTAATTACGAATGCCAAATAGATTTTTTAAAACAGAATGAGTCAAAACAAATTTATAAAAATCTTTTATATGACGGGTACATTGTATTGATAGTTTTTGTTATCAAACATTGGTGGCATATGAAGTCGCCACCTAATCACGCTCTGGGTCTGTGTGATGAACTGAAGCAGTTGTGCCATTTTTCGTTCTGAGGGCAGTATAAACCTATGACAGAGGCCCGTGTACAACAGCGCAAAAAAAATTGGGTAGATAATAAATGAAACGTTCAATGCTTTGATTTGTACTATACGCCACAAAAACTATATATATTATACATCAACGAACTTTATTGATTTTAATTTATTAAAATGAAAAGTGTCGTACGACTCTTTTATGCCAATATTATGGAGCTGGTCTTCATAATCATGAATGGAATATAATTTAGAACGCAGTCAGAGAACAAACGCAGTGATGTTAGGCATGACTAACAAGTTGTAAAATATTTTACTTACCAGGAGCAACTCCTGAGGAAGATCCCCGCCATTATTGATACCACGGTTCATGGCGACGAACTGTTCTGGCGTTGGTTTGTCCTTAACACTAGGGTTGTGCAACGATGTATTCAGCATGATAATCGCGAAACTCAACACGTAACACGTGTCAGCATTTGTAAAGATATCTGGGTTCAATTGGCAGTAACGTTGTGCGAAACATTCCATCATTCTATCGATTTTTTGCGCTTCGCCTGGTAGGCGGAAGCTCCATAGGAATTGTCTGGAAAATTACAGATTAGCCTATGAAAAGTTGGTATAAATATTTATTTAAGAGATATTAACATTATTATTGATATAAAGATCAAACAAAGACAAGGAAAAATTTCTTCGATCTGATTGCCTCGTGGGTCAACAGACGGTGATTCGAGTCCAGTCTAACAAAGGAATTTTTCTATGTATCGACTTCTTGGGTTTTCGCGATTGTTGCATATAGGAAATAAAACTATTTTACGGATCTAAATCAGTCAGCCGTGACCAAGGGATCTGTGAAGGACCCGAACCATTGGTTTGTTAAATAAACAAATATACGCGATTTACACCGTAAAAATAGTTTCTTTTCCTAATTTTTCTTTGTGTTTGTTTGATCTTTAATAATAACAACTTGTGGAGTATTTTCACAAAAAATATATGAATATCATGGAGTTCAAATATCATGATATTCAATAAAATAAAAGTGCCAATTGTTAACATACTACGAATTCCCAGAAAAACCTATTACAAACGAGTTGGTACGATCGAATATTTGCCTCGGCATGATCTGTTCAATCGTATATGACTTGGATGATTCATGTCAATTGAAGCGTAGCGAACACAAACAGCAGAAAACGGCTGGATAAATTAATTTCCTAAAAGAGTTTCGAAGACGTTCAATGAGTTTCCTCGTATTTAAGCGTCAGTATCATAAAATTATTTTTTCGTTTCGAATGTTTGCGATGTAAATAATGACAATTATATCTTAATAACACAGCTTTCCGAGAAATATTAGTGGTGTTTCTTGTTAAACGCGATGACAATCTTTTAACAAGTGAACAGCATGTTATTAAATATTTAATTACAAGCTTTTTTATCCACTAGCTAGATTATTATGAAACAGATAAAATTAGAAAGTGTATCCAAATGGATTGACTACATCAGAAACATTAGCGTAAGTAGTGAGTGCCTACGACTCTTAGTATTTTGTCTAAAAGTCTTCCATTAGCGTCACTTAGTTGCTAAGTGTGTTGCTACTATCAGATTAATTTCAGTTTGGCAATGTTGATAACTTAAGACGCGGGCTCTAAAAACGGGTCAACAAGCCGCCTAAATTGTATGCTCTGAGATAACGTTGAATACCTATAGAGAAAACGACAATAAGAGCATAATTTTCTTGCTTGAATTTGAAAACTTGGCTTAAGATACTTCTCACGTTTTCAATGCTATTAGTTCAATACAGAATAAATTTTCTGGAGGAATCTCTTACAATTATGTTTGTTATGTTGAGTGTGTGCATTATTATTGTTATTATTATAAGTTATTTTACAATAATTATATTACCCTTAATAAAAATTTAAGTAATTATTTTGCTATTTCGCGAACTCAAGTTGCACTTGGATTCATGCAATACCAGCGGAAGACATACAAACCATATTTGTATTGCAAAAACGAGCGATTCGTTTTGTGTACTGTTTCGATTCTCGGTTTTCTCTCAAAGAAAAGTTTAAGGAGACTGGTATCATGACTGTTGCATCATAGTACATTTACTCAAATATTTTGTATGCCCGTAAAAATATACATAATTTCATTAAAAAAGAAGATGTCCATAATATTAACCTTAGAATTAAGTACAAACTCATGGTACCACGATTTCGTTTAACTAAGGTAAACGATTCTTTTATGGGGAACGGTTTTACAATGAAATTTTGGAACATATATCGTGGGTGGTCATCATTTTAAAGTTACCTAAAACCTACATAAAAAATTTAAAACTACGTGTTAGATAAAGATGTATGGAAAGACGATATGCCTCTAGATTCCACAACTTTGATTCAAAGTGTATTCCATAGCATTTAAGTTCATTTGAAAAAAGCAACCCCTAGAGATTCGTGCTTGTTTTTCTCGGGGTAGTCAGCACAGTGAACGAGCAGTAGCTTAAAAAATGACGTTATCAAGTGTAAATTTATTTTACCTATGGAAGAAATAAATATTTGATTTCGAACTTACTTCCATTTTTATTAACATGGATTTCCGCGAAGTAACGCCTAAATCTAATTATATTACCTTTGTTACAATTTAATGGTAAACGTGTCTTACCTAAGCGCCTGTACAAGAATGAGATCCGTAAAGTCATGGAGTTCCACGAATGCCCGGAGAACAGCCTCGTTGAATTCCGACCGCTCGCCGAGGTAATCTCCGATTGCCGTTTTGCTTAGCCCCTCGCCTTTGTGAAGAAACTGTGCTACGTCCTCTGGTGTTCTTTGAAGTAGGCCGTTTTCGTATAGGTATTCGATACCTGGAAATATTTTACAATTTTGTAATTAGACAAAGAACATAAAGCTTGTCTTCCAAACGTAACACAAATGGGATAGCCAATTAAATACATTATTAGCCAAATACATGAATAAGTTGAAAATTACAACTTGTAATAAATATGTGATATGATTATAAGATGTAATTTAAAAAATCTGATTATATTAGAACTAGCCGTATTCACGATAACGAGCAACTTTCAGAAAAATAAAACGCATTTTAAAACCTACCATTGAATTTTTGGTTTCCCTTACAAATGTCCAAGAATCACCCTTACGTCCATGAATCGTGCCAATTTTGTATAGAGATCAAAAATTTCATAACGAGGATCAAATCGCCCGAATAATAATAATTGGAATATTCGATACCAATGTCATTTAATTCTTATGCTTTCGCGATTGATACATATTCGAAATTAAACTATTTTTTCGGATCTAAAATCACGTGTTTTTTTCGATACGTTTCGAATTCTTTACAAGATCAATGACGAACGAATTCTTTACAAACAAATGATTACAGCTGACTGAATGGTCAAGTTTGATTTCCGTGAATATCTTAAGTTTTAATAAAATCAATCTCTATTTTTATTACGTCATAGTCTTGTATCAGCTCTTTTCACTTCGTAAAGTTGGTAGTTGATTCATGAATGTATGACGTGCAACAAGAAGAAAACGAGATAAGACTTTTTTTCACTTGTAAATTAGCGCTTGAATATTCAGTGGCGGATTCGAAATTCTCGTCACGTAACAGCGCCAAAAAAGAAAATCAGAAATGTGTGAATCTATCTCTGAGTTGAATCCCAAATTAAAAAGCTGTAGTAATTCAGAATTAATTCAAAATTAAATAAAGTAATTCTTAGACACGATACCATACCTTACATAGCAATAAAAAAAAATTGTTACAATACAATACCGGCCGTATTCAATATAAAGTATTATAAAATATTTGAATAGGAATAATAGTATTACACGAACAAATGTTTCAATATGAAAGGAAATGGAGCAAACGTTGATCATCTTACATAACAAAACAACAAGAATTTTTGTATTACAATACAATTGATCAAACGCAAGAATTTGCCCTCATAAGACTTATACTTATATATAAGAAATAATTTATCAACAGGTACGTCTATAAAAATTTAATACTACTAAGTACATAGCACAGGTTATACATATGTATACATGAGAATAAAATCGGATTACTTACAAATTTTCAATATTGTTTTTTATCTATTTTCACAACTTTATTTACTTTTTGCCTGATGTAAAATTAGTTTCATGCATAAATTAATTATTTTTAATAACATTTTCATTTTAAGATTTTAAATAATAGGGGTTAAAGTATGAAATTGCCGATTTGTACTGAAAATCTAAATTGTTTATTTTTTAAATTTTTAACAAATTTATTTAACCAAAATAGTTGCCATTATTATCTATACATTGCTGCCATCTAATGGGAAGGTTATTAATGCCTTTGCGATAGAACTCCGACGATCTAGACTGCACAAACTGTGTGAAAGCATTTTGTACTGCCTCCTGGGAAGAAAACTTCTTGTCACGTAGATAATTGTCCAAATCACGAAAAAAATGATAGTCCGTTGGAGCAAGGTCTGGTGAATACGGAGGATGACGAATGGTTTCTAACTGCAGTTCCTGAAGGGTCAAAATGGTTTCTCGTGCTGTGTGAGGTCTCGCGTTGTCGTGGAGCAATAATGGTGAAGATCGATTCATGAGTCGGGGCTGTTTTACTGCTAGTTTTGTCAATATGGTTCGGAGTTCGGCACAATAGACATCTGCCGTTATTGCTTGACCAGATCGGAGAAAACTATAGTGAATAACACCATGCTGAGACCACCAAACAGTTACCATTACCTTTTTATTGGTAAGTTTTGCTTTAGGACACTGTTGTGGCATTTGACCTGGGGTCAGCCATTGCATTTTTCTTTTCCGGTTATCATAAAGAATCCACTTTTCATCACATGTTACAATTCGATCCAATATTCCTTCATTTCTGTACCGGTTCAACAAGGCAACACAAGTTTCAACACGCGTTTCTTTCTGCAGATCAGTCAAATCATGAGGCACCCATTTTTCGTATTTTTTTATTTTATTGATTTGACGCAAGTGAGTCAATATTGTGGGTAAGGTAACGTTAAACCATGCCGCTAATTCCTGGGTAGTTTGACTAGGATCGGCTTCCACTATCTCTCTTAATTCATCGTTATTCACCTGTGTGGGCGGTCTTCCTCGTGGCTCGTACTTTAAGTCGAAATTTCCATCACGAAAGCGTTTAAACCAAAATCGCACGGTGCGTTCATTAGTAGACCCCTCTCCAAACGCAGCATTGATATTGCGGGCTGTTTCTGCCGCGTTAGTTCCGCGTCGGAACTCGTATTCAAAAATCACTCGAATTTTCGCAGTATCCATCTTTCTTGTCTAAATTGAATAACAAAAACAATTGAAAGTCGATATTCAAATGTTTCAAATTTAAAAAAAAAAAATCACAGAAACAAGAAAAGATTGTTACTGATCAACTATTTGAGGTTGTACAGCGCGTCATTGTCCCGAACCAGCACGGTTTTTGTAAGAAACGTGGTGTCGAAAGCAATTTGATAACATTTACAGAGCTTATATTGTCAGCAATGGATGAAAATACTCAAGTCGATGCTATATACACAGATTTTGCAAAAGCGTTTGACAAAATTTGTCATGATACACTACTTTTCAAGCTCTGGCAACTCGGAATCTATGGTGACTTGTTTCGTTGGATACGTTCATACATAGGGAACCGTAGTCAAGCTGTTGTACTGTGTGGTTACCGTTCTGCATATAAAAATATTCCCTCTGGGGTACCCCAAGGATCTCATTTAGGACCGTTATTATTTATTATTTACGTTAACGACTTGACAAAATCCATTAATCACTCAAATGTGTTACTATACGCAGATGATACAAAGATATACAAAATTATTAAAGACATGAATGATTCTGCGTTACTACAAAGTGATCTAAATGATTTTGTTGAGTTTTGTAATAGTAGCAATTTATTTTTGAATTTAAATAAATGTTTCGTAATTTCTTTTATAAGATCAAAAAATCCAATAGTATACCCATATAAAATTTGTGGCCACGATCTGGATCGCGTTAGTGAAATTAGGGACTTGGGTGTGGTAATGGATTCCAAACTTTCATTCATTCCCCATGTAGATAAGATAGTCGCAAATTCTTACAAATTTTTAGGATTCATGTTGCGTGTGGGAAAACCTTTTAAAAATGCTTCTACTTATAAACTGTTATTTAACAGTTACGTGCGAAGTAGACTTGAATTCGCAAGTCCGGTTTGGAATCCTCACCAACGGGTCCATCAAGATAAAATTGAAAAGTTACAAAGAAAGTTTGTAAAGTCCTTAGATTATAGAACCGGTAATCAACACATAGATTATGAATCTTCCCTTGTATTTCATAAAATAAGCACCTTGAGACAACGTCGCGATATCACTGATATCACGTATTTGTTTAAAATATTGCATAATATGGTTGACGCCCCTGTTCTATTGGAACAAATTTATTTTCGAGTACCGCGTAAACAGGAAAGAACAAGCCGTAAAAAATATCTTTTCGCCATAAAATCAAGTAAAACTGGCTATGGCAGTAATAGTTTTATAAAGAGAGCATGTGCCTCATATAATAGACAATTAGGTAGTATAGAATTATTTAATATATCGTTAATAAAATTTAAAAACCACATCACTGACCTTATATGTGCTAATGTTGACTAAAATAGTGTAGGTAATTGTTTTTTGTAATTTTTGATTATTCTTTTGTATTGCTTAACTGGTTGTTTGCTACTTTCTATTATTCGTGTACTTATTATATTAGTAATATAAGTCCTCATAGCAGCGAGTGCGCCGTTGTTGTGTCCTGAGTTTTGTTACGTCATTAAATGGAGTCAGGAGACCTGTAAGGAACGAAATTAATAATTAATATTTCACAACATTACCACAAAATAAGCATTTTTCCCGTAAAAATAGGTAATCGAAACACGTTCTATTCATACCTAAAGTTTCTGGCCTTCACGCCATCCATTCATATTTTTTTTTTATTTTTTTTATGATGAAGAATTTAATATCTTGCTATAGATGACGATCATATCATCATCATCACTGTCCTTGATTCATACAATTATAATTATAGATGTTATTATCTGAAATGCAATTTATTAATATTAAGATTTTATTTTCATTCATAATAATTTATTAGTTAATATAAGGTAATAAGTAACATTTGCTGTCATGCTTACCTACAGTATACACCACGTTTGGTGCGTGGAGTTTACATTGTAAATTTATCCGGGGTTCTCGCAAGCCGTCATATAAATACTAATAATAAGTATTTATCAAAAAGTAAACACATCGCATTATACAAACACTGCGACCTGTATTGAACAATTGTTTCTTTTTTAGGTCTCCGGATCATTTAGATTCCGACTTATGTTAATTTACACTATAGCATTTTAGTACTTATCTCGTTGCGTAACACGACCGCTCGCTCCCGAACGTAACCAACCGGTGCCTGTCATCCAGCAAACTTAGAAAATGTGCGTTCGTTGCATAGTTTGAGGGATACGGGTGGTGTTGCGTTCATTTTACTTTGTTTTTTTTAACGTTTATAAAACTTACGTTTATAAGTGTCAGTATACCGTATACTTTTTTGTTTTATATGCATATTTAGGGAACTGTAGGTTTAGTAATATGTTAATTTTAAGTATGTATATTTTTAAATATGTAAAACTGTTTGTTCCTCAATAAATTAAAAAAAAAAAAAAAGAAACCATTTGAAAAAGTTTCATTCGAAAACCTCAAACCATGAAGATTCTATGAAAATTCAAAGAACCTATTGCAATAAAACGGCAATTTCATACTTTAACCCCTAATATATTACTATGCACTAAATAAATGAAGAAAACAATAACTGAATGAGTCTCAGACATAAGTTGTTTTCGTCTTCGTTTCATCTTTCGGAAAACGAAAGAAACTCCTCTCTTTTACCCGTTTAGATGATGATAAACAGCCGTACGCAGCTCAATTCACGACCTTTATAAATGGAAACGTACAATGATGTTATATATTAACGTACAAGTTTCGTAATGAATAAATGTCAACTATATTCAAATAGCCGTCATCAAAGCCGTCTTAGCGCGAAAACGGCTCGCCGACAGCCTTGTTGTCGTTCAGTCAATGTGCCCGTCAATGTGCGGGGCGTGGTGCGGTATCTAAATCTAGGGAGGGAGTGTCCATACTCGTTACTTTTTTGTTCTCTGCCTACGACCTCTGCTTAAGAGGTGGTAGGTCAGATCATTAGGCTACCACGGGGTAATTACATTGATACTGTTCACAATTACACGTTTTTTTGTAAATATTATACAAAATGCACACCATTATTTTGCCATTGGCATCACAAAATGGATACCAATAAAAATAATCGACATTACACCACAATGCACAGGACACAATTTGAGTCTAATGGCTTCCGTGGAGGTCACTTAAATATGCGTCACCATCAATGAATGAAAACCCCCTGATTGGGTGACAAAAGTAGAGGCGATCTAAAACAATTCACGGTACTGTATAAAAGTTATTCTGTAGTTCTTAATAGTTAGTGCCATGGTTGATAATCGTTTGGCCAGTGTCGGTGCTATATGGTGCGTCGCACCAAAACAATAACAATGCCGCGGCGCGTGCGCAGGGTACGCAAGCACTACAAATTGCTTCACACCGCGCGATAACAAGTGCCGCCGCTGCTGCTACCAAGAAACTTATTTATAAACCGCTCAAATTGTTTCTCACTAGTTATACACTCACTAGGCATCGTCTATTGGATAATTTGAAGTTTATAACTGCCTACAACTAGAACTTACATACAAATGCATGGGTACATTTATGTAATTTAAGTATATACTAGTAGATTTAATAATACATTCAGTCCGACGAATCCTACAGAGAGAATAATAACATCAACAACAACACTTTTCATTATTTGTCGAAATTTTAAATAAATCAAAATTCTTCAATAGCCATCATAATAAAATTAAGAAAAGAAAATGAGTTAGTATGTTTCGATGAGTCTTTAGGTCCGGGAGCGTGCTATAACCGATCTTCATTGATGAATGAATTCGTGAGTCATACGAGGCCCAGTGGAATGTCACAGGCAATCAGAAAAGAAGTTTGTCGACCTTTTGCCATTCATAATAATTATAAATGATTTTACGAAACAAATCTTAGTAAATTTTCAAAGATGAACGGAAACGTTTATATCAAAAATGTGTATGTATTCCATACTTAAGTTATAATGTTCGAATTCCGCACGATTTTGATGTTTGTTGTTACAAATGTTGACCTGATAGTGTCCATTGGCTAAAAGATACTACGAGATTTTTATAATTAAGGTATAGATGGGACCGGTCGCTGAGTACCTAATCGCAACACTCTGTGGCGCTGCGCACGATTCGGAGTCACGACTGTCGCCACCTCCGCCGGACGGAAGGCCGTCTGAACGGACGTGTAACGTCTAAACGCTTCATTTGTACAGAGCCAGGAGCACAATACAATGCACCTGTAGCGTAGAGTAGTTTACGCATCATTGTAAGAGTGAATTTAATTAATTATTTATATATTTACCTAAATTTCAATTAATATATAGAGAGTGGATAATAATAATTCTTGCTGAAATTCCGGAATGATTAATTAATATTAAATAATAAATTTTCATGTTTTCTTTTAGCCAGAAACAAGTTTTCCATGACGAATTTTGCTTATTGTTGACGTCGGAGTATACAATCCATTATTGTATATTCGCTCTTCTCACTAGAACTTATTTTCGCAAAGTTAAACCATAAAAAGAAAAAAGATATATTACATAATTATAATAAGCAAACTTTTCTTCTAAATACACTCTCGTAGTAAAGTTAGCACTAGTTAGACATCAAAAATGTACAGCAAAATGTAATACAATAATTCCGAAATTTCAGAGACGGGTATTATCCATGTCCAATTAAGTAACACCATAATATACATTATTCAACTGCCTCCATGGCCGAACAGTTACCATGCCGGACTGCTACGCGGAGGTCCCAGGTTCGATTCCCGGGCCGGGAGAAATATTTGTATGGCCTACATTTATTTCTCTCGTGAGTTTGGGTGTAATTTGTGATTGTCTATGTGTGTATCCATGGCACCCGCGACACAGGGTTTCCCTAGTGCGGGGCTATGTTGAGTGTGTGCGTTATTATTATTAAAAAAATATATATATAATAAGACAAGAATTGTAACTCCATATAAACGTAGCAGCGCGACTGGTAATGTGTATACGCCCGCCCGCGCACCCTATACGAATGCTCATATTCGCACAGTCTCACAATGCACACGCGTTGCATAGCGCGGATCGTCATACCGCCTTTAATTTATAGAATTGAGGCGGTCGTTCAATGTTTAAAAAATGACATCAAATAGTAGACGTGTTCAATGTTGTGTATGTGGTAATTTGAACAAGAGTTCCCCAAAT